ACGGAAATATTCTCCCATCCATCCCTTTCAATGTTTATTCATAAACAATTAAACATTTGTGTTGTGTTGTGTTAAAAAAAAAAAAAAAAAAAAAATTGGTGGGGATCAGTTCTAGATCAAGTCGTGTTAACAAAGTAACTAAAGATTCGTTGTCAATACAGTTGGAGTTGAGCACTATTGACTAATGGAAACTTTTGTATTCGTTCGTATATAGCATGATACCTCGTAACACTAAACTACACGTTCCAGGCTTAGACCCCGTTTATTTTATTGATTCGAGTTTAGAATTCAAGTTTTATTACAGTAAAAAACTCTCAGAAACAGTTACATCTAACTTTTTTGTTACAGTAAAAAGTTCTCACGTAAAGTCACATCTTAACTCAAATTAAAAACTCGAATCAACAAACTAAACGGACTTTTAGGGCTTGTTCTTTTGAGTGAAAAACTCAAAAAAGGCAACTCGAGTTACAACTTTATTCGAGTTCATGTTCTTTTAAGTTTAAACTCGAGTTTAAACTCGAGTTCAAACTCGAGTTTAGGACTAAAACTCGAGTTCAAGTTTCCCCTTCAACTAAAGTTCAGAAACTCGAACTCAAATTAATGAACAGTATTTTTTCTATTCTTAAAAATGCTATAATTTTTTCGTTTTAATTCTGATTGAGATTATTTTTTTTCTATGCGTTGACAACGAAAAGATGAATAAAACCCGACCCATATACCATATTAAAATTTTTCATTAGCATTGAGTTTTTATTAAAATACTATCTAAATACAAATTCAAGTTTTGACTCACTCAAATACAAACTCAAAAAGATTCTTATATCAAATCATAACTCAAATGTACACAACCAAACACAAACTCAAGTTACAAGTTTAACTCAAGTTATAACTCAAATTCAACTCAAGAATTATACTCAAGTTAAACTCTACAAGAACAAACTCGCCCGTTCACTTTGCTGATTCGAGTTTAGAAATCGAGTTGAGATGTGATTTTATGTGAGAGCTTTTTACTGTAGCAAAAATGTTAGATGTGATTGTTTGTGAGAGCTTTTTATTGTAGAAAAATTCGAATTCTAAACTCGAATTAGCGAAGTGAACATGGCCATAAGTCTTGTCATTTTGAGCTTTGCTGGGTGGCTATTTGTAGTTTTTTTTTCCTCTAAATAATTGGGATTTGTTTGATATTTGTTCCATATTAGAATTGGCCAACAAGAATCATTTACCTGTAATTTAATTTTGTTTTTTTTTTTTGGTGCTGGTTATGTACAGTTGCATTTCTTTGGCATGATAAGGAGAATTTGGAAGCGGTAGAGAAAGCTATTTTCACCATGTTTAACTGTTATTTATTTTGTAAATTGAGTATCGAATTGAGAAGGGAGAGAAATAAATAGAAAAAACTGAATTGGAAATGATGACATTTCACTAGTAAAAATGTGACTTAAGCTAAAGGAAAAGGCGACAGTTTATGACTTAAGCTAAAGGAAGAAGCTACTTTATATTGTCCTCAATTCCTCTTCAAAAGAAATATTTATTATTATGTTTAGTTTTGTCATACTTTATGATATGATTTTAATTTTGATCTAACAATTAATTTTTGATATGATGATTAAAACTTATGGTCCATAGGTAAGGCGACCTTTCATACCCCACCACAAATTTCTCATATGTGGTACTTGAAGCCATAAGTCATGAGATTACCATTTTTATGTCTTATTCTGGAAGAATTATTTGATAAAAATATGAAAAACAGCCTTCAGATAAGACAGTTATTGTTTTTTTTTTCTTTCTTTTGTGAAATAGATAACAAATAGGTTGTCAGATTTTCATCAAATTTTGTTAAATTATCATGCTTTTTTAATCTGCACTCTCTTCTTCATTCTAATAACGGTTGAGAAATTTTTTTTTTCTTTTGTAATGAAATATGTCCTCGTTAAGTGCTAGACTGATGCATTGTACTAAAATGATAGTAAATGGCTTTTATTCTATCCAATCTCTAATTATTCATCTTATTTATTCATAAAAAAAAATACCTTTGACTTATTTGATTGCAAAAACAATAACTGTTTAACTCATAGATTATTTTGTAATGATAAAATTAAAGAAAAAGACCAGGAAAAACTAGGAGATTGAGGAACAAATACTTTTAAGAATTTCTTTGTAAAATAAATAAAGGAATTGGAAAGAAAATGGGCAGTGACTTTTGGAGGATGCGCGATTGATTTTCAAAAAGCGAGTGAAGAATTGGGTTTTTTTTTTTTTTTTTTTTTATAGAAAAATTTTAAGGTAAGGGATTCCTAATAAGAGAAGCTCGCCTGTACTCTTGTAATAAAGGAAATACTCTCTCAGTCTATCATAAATGACAATAAAGAGGATAGATTATGGTTTCGTTTATTATGAGAAAACGAAGATACAAATGGTAAAAGGAGAATCTAAAGAGTGAAAACCAAACTAAGATTTAGATAGACCTCCAACCATGCATTTATCTGGCCTAAAAGGAAAGAAATTAAATAACAGAAGCCACATAAAAATCATCAAAAAATCAAGATACACGTAAATTTTAACAAAACAAAAAAAAGTAAATAAACTACATACTAAATAAGGTTGATTTGTTCAGAATTTACCTGCCGTCTTTAGAGTACTTTCATATATGTGAATTTCTCATGGTCTTGGCCATTAGTTTTGATGACAATACATATATGTGTGTCTATATAGACACATATATATATATATAACTCAATTAAGTATCAAGTGAAATATATTTTGCCCTAACATGTTCGACAACCAGCAGATCATGATGGAAGTCATGTGCTTGATGAATCCCAACATCAACTTCTTGCCAATTACCCGTCCCCAACCGTTTGTTCCTCCGCCGTCTGAGCGAAACGAAGAAGACGAGGATGAGGACGACGATCCTGCTAATTTAGGAGATTAAAATGTTTGTTATTATTTTTCTTATTATCAATACTTTTTAGTAGTTTTTTTATTAATTTACTTTTTAAGATATATTTTATTATTGTGTTGACTATTTTATATCAATTATAGTGTTTTATTTTATTGTTAAATTTTCTTTAAATTTATATTTTTATAAATTAATATTATTAGGAAATACAAAAAAGAAAAAATACTATTTGCGACGACATATCTAAAGTGTCGTCGCAAAAGGTTTAAGGACTTTTGCGACGACACTTTAGACCTGTCGTCGCAAATACGTTATGACACGTCATCATCAATGACATATTTGACGAAACATTCGTGATGACTTATTCGCGACGACTGTCATCGCTAATATATTTGATATGACATTTTAAACCATGTCGTCGCAAATATATTATTTGCGTCAAAATCTTTGCGATGACTAAGTTGCGACGACATGTCATCGAAAATAAAATATTTGCGATGATATGTCAGTTATTTGCGACGACATAGCGTCGCCGCAAATGAACTTTTTTTGTTGTAGTGATAACATATTAGAAACAACAAACAATCACAAAATCGATCACTTGAGAATATTTGCAATGGATCAAGGTAGACTAAGCTCCAAGCGGGAGACCAAAATGGCGTTTTTTGCGTTAGCATTATTGTTGTTGGTGATGGCTGCCGACCAAGTAGCTGCGAAGCCCGCACGCAAAGAGTCCAACCACCAAGCTCGCGTGATCCCATCCAACACCCGCACGTGCGGATCTTATTGCCAAACTTACTTTAAGGACAAGCTTGCAACTTATAGCTGCAATGGGGGGATGTTTGTAAAGCATGAAGACTTGTTTTGCATGAAAGCTAGTCATGTCTTTGAGATTGTTTTCTTTCATTTGAATAAACATATTGAATAGAAGTTTGTTATATATATATATATATATGTATATTTCCTCTCTTTCTCGTGATATTTTTATCAGTCTGTGGTCACATATAACCAACGGAGCCAGAAAAAGTTTTCAATGTGGGTTCTATTTATTATTATTATAATTTTTTTTTTTTAAATAGTTGTTAAATGAGAACAAAGCTGCAACATACATATTTCGATTCTTGAATATGGCCAGAGATATCAATGAGGTGGTTGGGTGTGGGTTTTACGCCGCCCGTCTCCGCTTTTCATCCCGCCCTAAATTAACCCACCGCTCACATTAAAAACAAAAAAAAAAACAAAAAAAAAACAAAAAAAAAAGAAAGAAAGAAAGAAAGAAGAAGGAAAATGGCTGATAGCTCGACATGAAACTGAGACAAATTCAACCGCCATTCTCTTTTTATTTACTTGGCATCCAAACTTGGCAAAATAATTGTTCTTTTTCTTTTTAAAAAAAGTGGATCCCACAACATAACTCACTTATTATTAGTGGCGGTGCTTTTAAATTTTTTTTCTTTATTTATGTCCTTCACATTAATTATAATATTTAAACTGTCGTGATTTTTTAATTAGCGTGGTATGAATTTTATTATTAGAGGATATGAAAGAAAACTTGAATAAGAAAATACATGAGTCCAAATCTAATTATAATGTTTCTTTATTGAAACTTGTAAATAATAATAATAATAATAGAAAACAAAGCACACATGCTTCAATCAATAAATTATATACTTTGAGTTGGAGTAGAAATTCATTCTTTAGAAATTAGCTGATCTTTCTTTTTTATATTAAAATTGATTTTCCTAGTATCCCTCGTCGAAGATAAAGATTTATTGTACGTTTATCTTATATACTCAAACTCAAATCATTGATTCAACTACCGTATTTTCCTCACACAAAAAATTTAAATTTCAAACATTAAAATAAAAAATCATGATTTGAATATACCTTCTAAACAGACGTTAGCTTCTTTTGCCGCCTACAACTACAACCTTTGGCTATGCGCAAATTCATTAAATCATTGTGCTTCTGGTTAGCTCTTTTCACGCACCCTAACTGATTAACAATTTAGCTCATACCGGAGAGAGAATAGAGAATAGATAGAATAATAAATGGAGGAGAAATCAACCATTGGTTGCACGCAGACACACCTAACTTACAGAACAACAGAACTTGCACTTCGAACTGATATAGTGAACACAAATATTCTCAAATCTGAAAACTATCTCCAAAATGAGAAAATGTTCTTTTGTTTTGAGGAAAAGAAATACAACTGGAAAATTGTTTTCCAAGACATTGAAGCAATAACTATGTCACCACTTAAAGGCCACTGAGACACAAAACATCGATGCAGCCAGCCGCTCTCTACAAGCTTCATCATTACTAGACAAACCGCAAGCTTATAGGCGGGTCAAGGAATGACGGCAAGAAACAACTTAATTAGAAAAAAGTGGGGACAATGGTATCTCATTTTGTCATCTCCATTCTTATAAGACAGGTTTCAAGTAAGAATATAAGAGTCGGAGCCTGAGGTAGCAAGAAAAAGTCACTAGTTAGTTGCAACAAAATTCTACCCTCCAGCTAGAGAGTGTGCCATGTAACTTTTCGGGGAGTGCTGCTTTTCAACCTCCAAGAATTTTTTCAAACCCAGAATAATCAGAGGATGACAAAAATTCTACACCGGCTGTCCAATCGGATCTAATCAATCACCAAACAAATCATCATCATCGTCGTCGTCATCAACATGACTTGAGTTATTGTTGGGTTCAACACTTGATGATTTTTCTTCGGTGTCTTTGGTTGGAGAAGCTGGTTTACCACTCGAACTAACAGAAGGATATGCCCAGGAAGAACCTACTTTTCCGGCAAAGGATTCTCCATAGAGATCGTCATAAATCCCACTAGTTGGAGCACTTTTTACCTTGTTTAAAACCTCTTGAAGTTTACCAGTCACACCTTTTTGGGAAGAACTGTCCTCCTTTGCCAGGTTTTGTTCCTTCCCTTTGGGTATGACTGTTATCTGTACTAACGATTCGTATTTTCCAACGAGAGTTCCTTCTTTCACACCTATTGGACCAGGTTCTGTTTCCACATCCGCACCATCTGAAATTCCAACAACTTCTTCAAGTTCTCCCCCAACTTGATCCCTGAAGGCAACTCTTGCCTTCTTCGTTCTTTTAGCGGGTCTCTCTGTGTGACTGTCATCTGTTCCACTTGCCGAGCGGCCAGAGCCATCGGATTTAGATGGTACCACAGGCTTGTTGATACCATAACGGTTGAGAAGTGTATTATAGGCCACAATGGCTTCTTCATCGGATGGATCAGGAGGTGGAGGTAGATTGATCTCTGTGGGTAGTGGAGGACGGGGAAAAAGGGCTTCATTGTTCTTTCTCAAAATATAAGTTCTAGTTGATGCTGCAAATCGCAGAGATTGCCCAACTTCAAGCTCAACAGGGGTATCTTTAGTCAACCGTTCATTTGCAACAAAAGTACCATGTGCAGACCCCAAATCAATTACGTATATGCTGCAAAAGCGATGATAACTTGTAAATTCATTTACCAAATATAACATAAAGTAAAGGGGAAAAGAAAACCTTTTAAACATCATAACACTTATATTAGATATTAAAAATAAGATGCAATTTTCCTCATGCCTTGTAGTCCGAAACCAAAACCATGCTATTTAGGAGTGCAGGGAACTAGAGAACCCTATAAGCTCCTGGATCACGGAGTCATCCATCCTCATAATTCAGTTGACAAGCCTAAGGATATTGACTGGAACTCCAACTACGTAACTGCAACCATAAAGAATACTATACATCCAACTCAACTCTCTACATCCGAACGAAAGTTTATCCAATGATTTTGTTTCTTCTATCTTCACTATAACATTTTCTATGTACGTTCAAAGCTTGAGTCTAAAGATTAAAGAAACTCACGCCCATGATATCAAGTAAACACTAATATTCAACCAACCATGACTTAAACTAGTAAACCCATGATATCAAGTAAACACTAATATTCAACCAACCATGACTTAAACTAGTAAACCATTTCCGTTGAACTACTTGAAATTTTGTTTTAAGATGCAATTAGAGCCTAGCATATTATGCTCATTCAGTTCCATTACAATCAACATGTTAGTCCTCAGACGTTCGATTTGTGAGAAAACATCTTAAATTGTGGCTTAAAGGTAAAATATTATGTCAAGATCATCAAGGCAATATCATTGGATGATTGAGCCAGGATTTCACCTTCCATTCCGATGAGGGATAACTGCGGCGTGCTGGCGAGAAACTGACTGATGATCGAGCACAAAATCACATGTATGGAATTGCCTCCCGAAGATGTGTCTCCTCCTGTCGAGATTTATCCGGTCAAGAACCTCGCCGTCCTTCAAAATCTCGAGATAATAAACGCCGGCCCGAGGTTCAATGGCCCAATCAGGCGGCTGCCAAGTCGACTGCCCCCCTCCCACCTGGGTCACCTGCTGGGTCTGCCCCACCAATGTGGCTGCTGCCTCCTGCCCTGCAGGCTTCTGCGGGCCTTGTGCGGCATTGGTCTGATGCCGCGGATGTTGTAAAACCGAGGAATGGGCAGTAACAGGTTTTGTTGTTGAAGACGATTTCGAAGCCGAATTGAGAGTGGTAACTGAGAAGGGTTCCAAGGACTGAGCTTTCTTGAACCTATCAAGTCCTGCTCGTCCGTACATCATTCAATCCCTAACTCACTCAAAACAATCTGGTTTTTATACTTCTGAGCTCACAGAAGAAACCAATAAGCATTGTGGCATTGGCATCAAGTATTTTACAATTTCCAAGCCAGAAAAGAGCCTCTTCGAAAAATAAAACAGTAAAATACACATAAAAAAAACAGATTTTTTAGCCGGATCTAAGAAGGGTCGAAAACAAAAGAATCAAACCCAGTTAAGGCCTACTAAATGTCGTTATAAACTAGAATCTTCTTCTCTTTAGTCAAAAAAAAAAAAAAAACTAGAATTTTTCCCCCAAATCTAAACAACTATAGCTTCGGGCAAAAAAAAAAAAAAGCTTCAGTTAACGAAGAAAAGGTTTTTCCTTCAGAGATTGATGAAAAGATATAGTTTGATCAGTTAATTTCTGGATAAATCGAAACACAAAGGGATTGGGGTGAAACTCGAGAATCACATAATAATAAAATAAAATAAGGGAGATGAAAACTCTAGTATGTATTATAATTACTGCACTCACCAAGCATATGATTAAGGAAGATAAATACAAGTTGATTTGGAGAAAGAAATCCGTCCTTGGAGTTGTGAGAAGGCAACGGGGATATCATGTTGTGAGCCCCTCACAAAGGGCAATTTAATCGACCTCCTGCCTTGCCCGCATCCTGTCCTGTGTTTTGTTGTCGTTTTATAATTTTTAATAGTCGGTTTTTATTTTTCTTATCGTTGGCTCTATCATTGTTGTTTTCACCCGTAATGTCGTTCCTGTTTCTGTCGTTTTGTTTTATTGTCGTTTCTCGTTTTCTCAATTGCTTTTTTTTTTTCCGTTTAATTTTTTTGACGTCTTTGACACATTTCAAGATTTGTGAAAAATTTGTCGCTTTCCAAGTCCTGTGTTTTCTTGTCATTATTACCACTTCCTTTTAGTCGTTCACTTATTTATTGTAGTTCCCATTTTGGGTTGTTTCATTTTCTGTCGTTATCTATTTTTTTTGTTTATTTTTACGCCGGCATATGTTTTTGGTCGTTTGAATTCTATTGTCTTTTTCATCTGTATTCTCTTGTTTTGGTATTTATTTTGGTGTCGTCAAGTGCTTTATTGTCGTTTTATTTTTCCTTTTTTTGCTCTGATTGTCCTTTTCCAATTTTATAGTCTTCATGTTTTGTTGTCGTTTTCGTGTTTATTGTCGTTTTAGGGATTGCTGTGACTTTTTTTTTTTTTTTTTTTTTTTTTTTTTTTTTTTTTACTTTTTTTCAAAATGCAGGCTGATAGTTTGAACCGTTGTAATCCTTCTGCAAAACATTCTCACTAGTGATGTTCTATCCAATCCACAGCCATGGTTACTTGTCTGGTATTTTGAACGGCAACATCAAAAAGTACCAACTTTTGCTTCATTCAAATTCTTCTCTGTTAGCATATAAAACGAACATTGAGATGGACCTTGAATTCCATCTCAGTACATTCACAAACATCTACTTAAAGCCTATTACACTAAACCATCTACCTGTCAAACATGTGATGGAAAAGAATGTAGAATAATTTCTTACACGGCGATGAAAACCAGTTTGTCACCACCCACAGAGTCTTGTGCATACTAAGACCTTGCATTCTTCTGCTGAAGCCTAAACCCCACGTCAGAAGCCATTTTTTCTGTCTAAGACTGTAGAACGGCTGATAAAATCGCGTTCTTGAAAATCGGACAAGCAACAAACCAGTTGGTTCCAAATTTAAATTCCACTTTGAAGAGCTTGGCCTGAACTTCTGTCCATCTGCGCTTAAGCATGTGGAATTGGACAGAGATGACATCCACAAGAAGGTGTTTCATGAAGTAATATTAGTTGTCCCGTGTGGAAATATCCATTCAGATGAGGCCACCAATTTCATTTAGCTATTTTGTTGCAAATTCCTTCTCAATTACACCGACAAATACCTTCAAGCGACCTTGCAGATTCTGAAGAATATTCTTTGTAATCCTTTTCTGGTTCCGAGTGCTTTTGAGCCAGGCAATACCAAAATGTACTTTTACCTGACATCCCTTTTGTTTTGATGGCAAGTCCTCAACTTGGTATCTAAGGTTAAGCTGCAAAAGAGTTAATGGCATCATTAGCATTTGGAATGAGACGTAGAAAGGAGGATTACGGGGACCTCAAGATCACGAAGCCTGCGCCTGAACAATGTAAACAGAAGTTCAGAAGAATCGTAAATGTATTTACATTGAAATGGTCACCGAGCGGAACTCCATGGAGAGTCATAACCTCTTCAATGGTCCAACCATTTCTATCAGAAAGTGGGATTCTTTGCTGCGTACTTCTGGCCTCTCCTCCATAACGTGAAATACTCTTGGCAAATTTGTAACATGTTTGCCTCTCATAGACATCACCCTTCTCTGATTCCCACGGGGTTTGGGAATAGTCAAGGAAACCAGCTTTTTCCATTACTTTACGCTCCAATTCACCCCCACTGAAAAACTCCATGAAGAAGCTTGTCTAAAACACCAACCACAAGGATTTAATAGTCAGGGTGAAAATCCATTTAATAAATGTTGAATTAAAACAAACAAAGGTGTAGCTTATAAGGAGGAAGGCACAGAGAGAAAGAAGGAGAGAGAGAGAGAGAGAGAGAGAGAGAGAGAGAGAGAGAGCTTACTGGAGCAGAGAGAACAGAAGAATAAACCTCAGACATGATGACATCATCAAGGCCCAAAAAAGACCCACTCTCATCACTTTGAAGGCTTTTGGCTTCAGATTCTTCTTCAACAATTCGCACCTTCTGCTCAGGACTCAAGGATCTAGCCTTCCATAGTGCCATGATAGTCCTATTAGCTGCATTAAAAGATACAAAGGAGTGGAAATGGAATTTCAGCCTGCCTTCTGCGTCCCGTGTCTTTGCGCCATGCCTTGCATCAATACCTCTGCCTTGCCAAAGAGTGATCACAATAATTGGACTACCCATAGATGACAGAGTAGGAGGATCAATTTGGATATCTTCTATGTCCTCCCAGAGGAAGAAGAACTTTGTCTTGTGTCCAAACAGATTTGCATGGAACCCAATTATTCTTGGCGAGAGAAATAAACGGCCCTGCAAACGAATAAATGCAAGTTGATGAGATATAGCACAGAAAACATATCGATTGCACTCCTGACCCATATAAAGTATGAAGGAAACAGCAGTGTGACAGGAAAAATTCTCAAAATGAAGTAGTCACAATAACAGCACCTGCAGGGGCATCTTTCGCTTCAAGTGACAGGTAAAATCATTGATAAGAAATTCCTCTGGTGGAAGCCCAAAAAGCTTCTGGAATGCCGAATTTGTTTGAGGAGAACGCACATTTATCTACAACAATTTTTGTTTCAAGTCATGAATAGAACTATATGAAAGGTGTCTAAATATCATCTGTAACAGAAAAGTAAGAAGAGCACCACCATTTTGAAAGTTAAATAAACTGTGTTTTTACCTTCTTCCCCACCTCCTTCTCCATCTTACTCAAGTAATCTTCAACAACATTGCCACCTCTTGTATTGTCCAAGAAAATTCTTAAATGGAGCTTAGACTGACAAGCCTGAGCTAACTTTCCTTGCAAAGGGACCCACACATCAGCCAAATCTGATATATTTGTTTTCACAAAATTGATTTCAGCATGCCCCAGAGATGTTGCATCATCAAAAGGTCCATCAAAATCACAAACTTCCACATCCAGCACAGAAGGAGGCTCGTCCATTGCATCAAATTCAAATATTTCTGCAATGACGGATACAAACAGAAAAAGTGATCGGGTGTCGAATAAGTCCATGGCTTAGGAAAAGACGTACATTTTAGCCTAGTTCTTGCAATATTCTTGCTTTACATAGCGTCTAAAATGGTTGTGGATATAGGCAAATGATTGATAAAGGTTAAAAAGTACAAAAGACTACCATTCCACTGAGGATTAGACTTCTGGAACTTAATTGAACTAGTTCTAGTTTTCCCATTGCAAGTAAACACCACGTATGGATCAGAGAACCCACTTGCATCAACAGCTGCTAAGTTACTTCCTTCAATCAAGGCAACAGTGAGCAACCACCCATCTCCTTGCGCTTTCACACCATGATCACTGCCTGTTATTGGGAATATAAAGAAAATGAATTGTATCCAAAACGATAAAGAAAAAAAAATGAAGGCACAATAGGGATAGGTGACCCATGATATCACCCGGTAGGCAATGAAAAAGAACTAGTCACCAAGCCTGTCAGATTAGAGTTGGTATTTGTCACTAATAAGAAAGCATTAATAGCCAATGGCATTACCTTTTTGCCCTCTGGCCTGCATGAACCTTGAAATCAACCCCAGCACACGTTCAGCTTGAAGCACCAGCACGCCACACACGATAAATTCACCAATAGAATCCGGCAAGTCAAGCCCAACAAACTCCAGCCCTTGAATAGCATCTGGTCTGGCCAGCCAAATGTGAACAAGCACATACAATCCCATAAAAAATGTGAAGAATACAGTGAAATTAGCAAAATACTGCACTGCCAGCTTCCAATCTGATTGGGACTCCGCTGCCTGCAGTGATGCCAAAACCTGTTCCTTGTTGGATCCGACCTCCTTCGAGTCAACTGGCTTGACATTCTGAGATAACAGACTTGCATACTGCTCAAAGCTCTCCTTCAGCCCTTGCCTGGCTCCATTTTCTATCATCCCTTTCATCATGGTACTCTGAAGAAAATTCGTCCTCCAAGATATTACCAAGCGTGAAGTTTGTTCTCCAGATGAACACTCTGGCCCAGGTGTAATACAGTAAAGAACTTCTGTCTTAAAAGTGCTTCCGTACATGACATCAGGAGTGCTAACGCTGGATAAAACTGCGAAAACCTTCCCATCAGCTCTGAGATACGTCTGCTCCTCAGTGGCCCTAACAGCCTTGATTAACTTAGTAGCAGCCTTGATGTAAGTGATCACTCGCTTCAAGCTCTCACCACCATTATCAAACTTCCAAGATCCTAGCTGCAATTCCGTACTTCCCTGCAACTCGGCAATTGACTTTGGAAAACTTGAATCCAACGAAAATAGTAGAGAGTTTAGGTCCCACGGTGCAATAGCATACAATTGATCAAGAAGCACCCCTCCTGGTAAATTGCTTGGGATGTCGCTTCCTTGATCTCTCGACTCCATTATCTTCATTACTTCTTCAAAACTGCTAGAAGAAGACTCATCTTCAGACTTGTTATCACACTCCTCGGGCCCAACCGTTTCAGATATCTCAAACAAGTCGGTACTTCTACGAGAGGGATTCGAAGCTGTATCTGGATTTTTATTAAAGATCTGAGCAATTCGACTGGCAATGGTTTTCTGTGCACAAGCCTTCTCTTCCTTACATGATAAAATCTCTTCTTGTCTTGCAGGAGAAGCCGTGCTTGATGCACTACTGAAAGACCTCGAAGGTGATTCACTTTCCATATCAACACTCTTTCTCAAATGGGGTGCAAGATCACCATTACCATTCAAGTCCGAAAACGAATTGCTTCTGTAGAAGCATATAAAAAGAAGAATTTCACCTACAATCCAGAAAGAAAAACAATAATACGCCATAAACTTACACATTACTTCAACCATTATTTTCGACCACTAAAAAAATTATCACATTTGAATTTTGAAACACTCCCTTGCAATTAGAATTTCACTGTAATAAAGCTACGAGATCAAATTTTTGAGACAAAAATTAAAGGGAAACATATTTCATGTATTGTCCTTAATAGGGAAAAAAGAAAAGGCATATAACTACCTAAACTGACAAAGAAACACAAAAAACACAAGTACCCAGGAAGCAAAATTAACAAAAATTGAAATAAAGATAAAAAGAGAGAAGAAAACATACCACAATCCTTGTTCTTGGACTTCTTGTTTCTGGGTTGAAGAGGGTACCAAGCAGTGTCAAGGGACTTGCTATCCGCATCCAAAACTCGGGAAACAGGAATCTTGACTTGCCCAACAAAGTCGTCGTTGAAGTACTTATCTTCATCCAAAACAGAGACAACTAACTCCTCTTTGAGATCCTCAACCCTGAAGCTGAACTCCTCGCCCCAACAAGGCTTTAAGCTTTTCTTCACCACTTTGGTCTTCGACCTCTGTTTTCCCAACTGCAATTTCACGTACGGATCGCTCAGCCCATTCAGATCCATCGCCGGAAGATTCCTAGCCTCCATTACGCGAACCACAAGCTTCATTTTTCCGATCACGAAACGTAATCAAATGGGAAAATTTACAAAACCCAGAGAAGAAAACCTTATTATTGTTGCAACGGTTCGGGACACGTGAAAACTATGAATTCACAATTTTTTTTTTTTTTTTTTGGATGAAAGAAAACGAACAAGATTGTAGAAAGTTAAAAGAACTTTCACTTTCCACGAAATGTGGAAAAATCCATGGATCTGATTATATGGAGAGGAAAAAACGAAACAAAACAAAAATGTTCTATTCTTGCTTTTCAATGCGAACGAGAATTGACCTGAAGAATATCTCGGAAAATGGCAGAGCCCAAAGAAAAAGGAGACTCGGATCAAAATTACAGAAAAAAAAAAAGGATTAACTGAACATTCAAAACCAAAAGCTATAGCGGAATTGCGGAAACACTGAAAGAAAGGAGAAGAGAGAGAGAAAAGTCTTTTAGCTTTTTAACAGTTGATCAACTTCTTCCTTTCTTTTCCTTTCCCCCCTCCCCTCTCTCTCGGTCTCTCTCTTTCTCTCTCCTGTCCTAGGAATTTTGCGCGTAAGATTTGGACTTTTTGACTTTCGTAATAATTGTTAAAAAATATTAAAATAAATTTCTCCAAAAATATTGATATTTTTTATTTTGCCATTTTTTATTTTGGGATAAAGATTTGCTTCTAAATTAAAATAATGGTAGGCGGGTGATTAGTTTATGGGCACAAGTTATTTCCACGTTTTGTAAAGGATCGCCTAAACCCCATTTGGGAGGCCATTCAATACTTATTAATTGGGTATCCAAATGGTATAAGAATTGATCACAATTCACAAGGCACAGTATTATATAATTCCCAATTGCCATAAAATATTGATGAAATGAATTTGTTTGAAAACAATGGAAGAGGCAGATTCATGCTCATCTTTTAAATAATGGTTTTTTTTTTTTTTTTTTTTTTTGGTTGCTAGAGCTCGTCTTTTATGTTCTTGATCGAAAATTTTGATGAAAAAAGTACAAACAAAAAATGAAGGAATTAGTGGCGTGGTTGACACGGTAGTTTGTCGATTTCAATGACAAATTTTAATGTTGAGGTTCAACGGGAATGATTAGTAAAAGTCATCACTTTTAAGTCGTTTTTTGTGCTCTCTTGTGACGATTATGAACAAAGATAATGGCATGTGAATATATAAGTGAATGATGTTTTGAACTCATCTTTCTTAGAATTCGTCGATCGTCCAAAGCTCATTTAAATTTGAGTTGGGACTCATTTCTAACTGTGGTAATTCAAAGGAAAATTCAAACCAGATTCACCAGAATATGAAGACGGAAATTTCATCGCCAAGAGACTCAAGCAGTAACGGAGTCAGCCTTTTATTTTAATAGGAGTGTACATTAAATTTTTTTTAACAAATTATCTTAGTGGGCAGTAGCGGAGCCAACCTTTCACTTCAGTTGACGCGTACACTAAATTTTTTTTAATAAATTATCTTAGTGCATATAAGAGAATATATTTATTTTAGTGAGGGTTTAAATATAAAATTTTAAAATTTTTAAAAGTAATATTTTTTTAAAAAAATTTGAGTGGGGGCAGTAGCCCCCACTAAACTGTACTTAAATCCGCTATTGTTAGTGGGACATATAAAAAATATATTTATTTTAATAGGAGCATATATTATTTCAGTGAGAACTTAAGTGTAAAATTTTAAAATTTTTAAATGTAATATTTTAAAAAAAAAAAAATTTAAACTGTACTTAAATATGCCACTAGACCCAATGAAGAGTATACATACATCCAAGTCGTCAAAGAAGCTCCCATGAATGGTGTCATCGTAGAGGATCCAAAAACATAAGGCATATCCCTATCAGTAGTTTATTAATCTAGTGCCTACCACAGAAATCCCCTCATAAATTAACCAAAACTATAAAGGGAGAAAGAGAAAAATAGGTCAAGACTTGAGATAAATTAAAATTAATAGGCCAATAGTTTACATAAGTTAATAAATATACTAAATTATTATTTTCGTCCATAACTAGTCTGGTTATGAACCATAACTTGACAAGTTATTGTCTATAATTGTCCATAACTTGTCTGGTTATGAATCATAACTTGACAAGTTTGTCCATAACTTATCTGATTATGAACCATAACTTGACAAGTTATGACCTATTAATTTCTATAACTAAAAATTAACCTATATACTTTCTTAAGCTTTTCATATTAGCATATTTTTTACTATTTTCCAACTATAAAAACACTTTTGGCCATCCCCAAGTTTTGCATATAAATCATAATTTATCGCCGTCACCTTTTTTTTGCCACTTACCAGAATAGATAATGGCAGGAGACGAGCAATAAACATCTTCATTTGACTAATACTTAAGGCCATTAGTTCTGGTCATACTTCACGTCAAATAAAAAATAAATATGCCCCTTGAGCCATTGCAAGAACCTTCCACTATTATTGACTTTTATACTCCTGTCATATGCTCCGTATAGAGATGATAATGTTCTAGCCTACAGGCATGTTTCATGTAGAAAACAATTAAAGACAAGGCATAATAGGCATATGACTAGTTTAGGGAACAAGATCCTTTAAATGCGTTTGAAACTCGTTTTAAAATGATTTTATTTTTTATATGAAAATGAAAATGAAAACGTTTTCAATCTCAACCAGAAATCATTTTTAAAAATACGTTTGGTAGTTTTATCAAGAGATTATTTTCAGTGTAAAAATACCAATTAATGTCTCTTTCTCTCTCTCTGTACTCAAAAAATGAGAAAACGAAAATAAAAAATGAAAAACGACTAAAAGTCATTTTTCATTTCTCTCTCATTTTATACTAAACTAAAAAATCGTTTTCATTTCTATTTTTTGACTTTATTACGTTAAACGCCGTTTTGAAGACGTTTTTATTTTTTTTTCTCAAAAAACGTAAAAAATAAAAACAGAATCAATTTCAAACACGACCTTTGTCTCAATATCCTTTCTCTTGTCTCTCAAAGGAGAAAGAGCCACTTAGCAAAATAGGTTGATGTACGAAAAATGCTAAACGGCCCCGCGGAGCCGTTCAGCTCCGCAGACACATGGGCTGGACCTTGTGCACTTGTGTAGCCGACTTCAAGAGCTCTTGAAGCTTCCATTATTGATGACGTTTCGAGAAGCTTACATGTCTCAAACTACTAGTGGCTCTGTTTGCTACGTTTCTAGACAAAGAAATTACATAGCCCACTGTTTGGCTAATTTTGTGTGTTCGCAAATGTTTAAACCTATACCAACATTATACTAAAGTTAACAGATTTGGGATTAGGGAAGAGGGTTATCAATGTTGATAGAAGATGTAAATCGGGATTTATATCAGTCATGACTTAATAATTATTTTACGTCTATTGGATCATTGACAATCATGTTATAACTTATATCTATATGAAGTGTATTTAATGTGGATTTACTCCTGCTGATTGTGCCCCTCTTCACCGTATTGGCACAATACATCTAAAACAACATTCAGTATTTTACTCCTTTGATACTCCCTTTGAATTATTTGGTATTCAAAATGAATCTGCTTCAGCCATCAAAACTCATATTCAAGAAACTAATGAACTTTTTGAATCTAAAAGGCAAGTTTTCAATCTGTTAATGATCAACATGAGTAGAGTAGACAACTTCTCAATATGCCCTACGCCACAGTTCCAAATATTTATTGAAAGAATGTCAAATTTCTTAAAAGGCCTTTCCATATTGGCCTTAAGAATTGCCAAATACCCGGTCATTAGATTATGGTCTCATCAACTCAAAAATGTCGGTCACCTTGCTTGTATAGTAATCTGGTTGGATTTTATTAGACGGGTCTAGAAGATCGGGCAAAGTTGTACAACCTGACATGAAATAGAGAGAAGGAATGAGGAATTTAAGCATTGGACAAAAACTCCTGATGGTCGCAAAGTCGTGGAGATCGTAGAAGAATGAGAGTACCTGAGATAACAAGGAGAGTTCTACAGCCAGTATTTTGTCCAAACAAAATATCAGTGTCTAATCTGTCACCCACCATACACATTCTGGAGCAACTGAGATTGAATCTGTAAAAGAAAATACAATATTGAGACTTTGAGTAGACGTATATTCTTTAGATACATGTTAATTATGGTAACATTATACGCCTTTTCCTATAACAGGGAGATAATGTGAAGGGGAAAAAGGCATGAGTAGGAGCTTTTAGATCTGCTTACTTTTTAAGTAAAAATTCCATCATAAAAGTGGATGGTTTTCCAACTACAATGGGCTCTTTCTGAGTTGATCCACAGATGGCGGCAACCATGCACCCAGCACCTGAAACCCAAAATCAAACCGCGTAATAACTGAATAAATTTTGCTGACTTTTCTTAAAAGTGCAGAAATAAGACGGAACCTGGCCACTCTTGTAAATTAGTCATGTGGCCAACTGCATCTCGGTTGGTAGCAATGAACAAGCACCCAGGGTTCTCGCGTATGCAAAGAGTTCCATATCTGCCAGTTGATCAAAAAACACACATTCATCAAACTAATAAAGGATAAGTATTGCGCTGGAAGAATTCTTAGAAGGAAGGAAAAATAGTTCTTACTGAAGCTTGTAATAGTTAATATGTGGGTCTAGTCCAACCACAACCGCTCCAACCTGGAAATGGAAATTGCAAATTCTTCATTTCTAACAGAAAGGACAATCAAACAAACCAAGAAAACAATAGCAAAGATGTTAAATTACACTCTTATCGTGTTCAAACAGACAATTTGGCTTCCATTCTGCTGTCTTTTGACCATCTTCCTGCAATACAATGTTTTCACATTATTTCATTTAGAAATGCTCTCTTAGGGATTTACAAGATGACGTGAGGTGAGAGAAATTTCTTCACTATCATTGTAATCTAATGAATATGCAAAACAAAGAAAAAGAACACAAGAAACTTTTTACCAAAATGTTTTTCAAATGTCTACAGATAATAATAGCCTATGGTATTTCAGTCCTCATTACCTAGATAAACAACATATAGTGCAGGATAAGCCCCGCAATCGCTCTAATTGGCTATAAATCATGTAATCAAATTTAGGAAACAAAGTTCAGATATCGAATACACAATGTCATTTCCGATTTCCGGGCTATAATGGAAAAAAATTGGCCTAATTATAGTTCTTGAGAAGGTAAAAAAATGATGAACTCACCGGGCCACCAAGACCTGTAAACCCAGCTAGTTGGAGCTCTTCTAATATCCCTTCCTCGCCTATAACATAAACCTGCAAACAAAGGGGGCTTATTAAAGTCTTCTTAATCAAAGCCATTGAATTCTAATTTCTAAACCGTGACAGAAACGGTATAGTAAGAAGAAACCTTTTTATCTTGGGGAAACTTGTTGACCTTCAAGAACATAGCAGCAGCAAATGAGGAAGAGAAAATCTCATCCTATAAAACAAATATTCTAAATTAAAAAAAAATCAGAAATTTACTCAAAAACAAAAACAAAAAATGATAAATAAAAGACCTCAGTTACTGAAATGCCGAGGGAATGGAACTTCTTGGCGTATTGCCTTCTCGATTTTGTGGAATTGTTGGTAACGAAAACCAGCTTTTTTCCCTATATACAAAACCCAAAACCCAATACACATAAATCCACCCAAATTTCACTAAATAAAAATAAAAAAAAAATTAAAAAAAAAAAAAAAAAAAAAAAAAAAAAAAAAAAAGGTACCTTTGAGCGAAGGAAGTCAAGTGTCTGGGGGACGCCATCGATGAGCGATTCACCCTTCCAGATAACACCTGATTATAATATGAACGCAATATTAAATCACAGAACAGAAAAGGAAGAATTTTTACGACTCAGAAGAATTTTACAAAGAAAACAACAACAAACCAAAAAAAAACAAAAAAAACAAATTACCATCGCAATCGAAGAGAAAAGCGTCGACAGAATCAAGAAGATCAGGGGTGTTGTGAGGGGAGAGGAGGTGGGAAATGGGTTGAGTTGCGGAGTTCATTGATGGATGGTCCGAGGAAGAGGTAGTCCGTTAGTCGTTATTGGCGTTTAGAGTAAGCAGAGACGAGCGACACTCCAAGCAGTTGGAATCGTGTCCTACCTACCACTGAAGCATGTCTACTTTGTAGCAACGGAAAATAAGGAGTGATTCACTTTTCCATTTAATAAATCGTTTACTTATAAAATTAGTAACAAAAATGTAGTACTCTCACATAGTATAAAGAAAAAAAAAACACAATATAGCATATTTCACACTTATATTTAAAGTGAATAACGTAATTTTTTTTTAATAATAACGGGTGTATTTAGAACTCGTTCTAAAATGATTTTATTTTTTATATAAAAATAAAAATGAAAATATTTTTAATCTCAGACAGAAATAATTTTTAAAAATGTGTTTGGTAGTTTTATCAAGAGATTATTTTCAATATAAAAAAACATATTAATGTCTCTCTTTCTCTCTCTACTCGAGAGAGGAGAAAATGAAAATAAAAAATGAAAAATGACTAAATCATTTTACACTAAATCAAAAAATCATTTTCATTTCCGTTTTTTGTCTTTATTGCGCCAAACGCCGTTTTACAAACGTTTTTATTTTTCTTTCTCAAAAATAAAAAATGATGTCGACGCGATCTTCGCGAGACCTCGACACTCCTTATGATCTAGCCGTCCGGAACCAGATTTGGCCAGAGATCTTGCTGGAGAAATGCATATCAACACCAAAGAAGGGCAGGATTAGAGGTCCTTGATTTCCGTCGTGATGTGCTCTAGTCGGAGGTTTATCGTGGTGCTTGATTTCAAAATGGGTGTCGGATTTGGTTGAATTAGAGTGCCGATGAGGTCATCGACAATGGCTTTGAGGTCAACAGCTTGTTACAGATAAGTGGTGTTATTTGCAATTTTTGTGATATGTGTTTGTGAATGAGTTCGCGTTTTGTGTTTTTGATCTGTCTTTGTGATTGAGATTCGAGAATTTGTGGAATTTTTGTGAGGTTTGGTTTTGCATTTGCTTGTGTTTGTGCTTGAAATATGGTTTACCGGTAAATATTTTATTAATTACAATTTTGAATATCAATAAATACGGTATTTACTAAAGCATTTACAAGTTTGAATATGGTAAATAATGTATTTACTAGTAAATGCTTCACTGAATTTAAGTTTGAATATGGTAAAACTGTATTTATCAGTAAATATTTCAATGAATTCAATTCTCAATCTGGTAAATATTATATTTACTAGTAAGTACTTCACAAAATAAGTTTGAATATGGTAAATATAGTATTTACCAGTCACCGGATTTTTAGATAAATATGGTAAATACGGTATTTACTAGTCGCCAGAGCCGGTCGCCAGATTTTTCAGATAAATATGGTAGACATGGTATTTACCGGTAAATACAGTACTTACAGTAGCCAAAAAACTGTCTCCGGCTGCCGAAAAATAGTCACTGAAAAATGGTCGTTGGTTGCCGGAAAATGGTTTGTCGGAGTCGGTGGTCGGCCGCCGGTTGTTGGAGCTAGCCATAGTGGACTTGACTGTAGGGAGAAGAACTTAGGGATATTTTTGGGTTTTTAAAACTTAAAATACCAAATTATGCTATAATCTACTACCTAAAAAAAATGCTATAATTTACTAAATATTTTACTAAATATGAGAAAAAGGAATATCAATCCTTACACCCCCTTATTATTGATTCATTGTCAAAGAGAATGAATACTAAATTTACGTATCCACCCTTAATGAATTACTATACATTTAATGCTTATTTAATTGTGTAAAATGACATTTTAGTGATTACATTCTAACATTATTATTCTTACTTTTAGTAAACATAAGAAAGGAAATGAGATTGTTTCTCATTACACCATCTAATAGTCAAGTAAACACATGAAAAAGAATAAATGACCCTTAATCTTATTACTTTACTTTCTTTTCCAATTTCATTACCTTTCTCATTACATTCATTTACAATTTAGTAAACGCGCCCCTACTTTTGGCAGTTGGTATAGGCCTCGTTTAGTCCGCCGATTTGAGTTTTCAATTCAAGATGAAATGTGACTTTATCTTAGAGTTTTAACTGTAACAAAAAAAGGTAGATGTGACTTTTTGTGAGAACTTTTAACTGTAGTAAAAGTAGAATTGAAAACTCGAATCGGTGAGTTATTTATTGTAAAATAACTTGTGTTGCAAAAAAACGAGGCAAATATATATTTTTATTTTTTTAGTGAATTCCATTACACCCTAAAATTTTTTACTTTTTGCGTAGTGTCTCTGCACTTTAAAATTGGTAGCAATTTAAGTTTAATGGGTGATGGTAGGTCTATACATAAACCGGAACAACCCGCAAACCCAACACACCCCACCCCAACCTAACCCTAAAAGGCAATTTGTAGCATTATTTTTTATTTTTCTGCCCACTAAATGTCTGGCCCGAGGTGTTTGGGACGGTTTGTGGGTTGGGCCTATAATAGCCCGCGTGCCCCAACCCAACCCGCACAAACTATCCAAGTAATTACTTAATCTATTTTCATTTCTCTTGTAGATAACTCAACTTCATGTCTTACTACAACCATTGAGGAGCCTATGAGTGTGGACTGATAAAGATAGTTGTTGTTGCAGTGCTTGCTTTGGATGGATTTGAATTAAGCCTCTAATTTATGTTTGATGTTGGATGTACTACTTTGCTTCATGTTTGATGTTGGTTTGAACTTTGAATTACTATATGTTTGATGATGGACTGATCAATATTATTTCTATTTGATGATGAACTTTGAAAGTTGGATTGAACTTTGATTCTTTGAATGTTAAACCCAACCACCCAACCCACCCCACCTTACCTCGCCCCGCCCCAACTAAACCTAAACATCACTGAGTTGTGAAATTTTTCTAACATCGTTGGGATCAAATATGTGCAACCCGTACTCTCTGGGGCGGGGTAAGAAAAAGCTTTACCCCGCACCAACTCAAGCCATGTACAGCCCTAAGTGATGGATGTTATCAAATTAGTTGTTATAGACACGAAATTCATACGTGGACTGATTTAAAAAATGATGAGCCTGGTCTTTTATGTGCGAATCTCGTGTTAAATCATATATTTGATCAAGTGTATTAGCTAGTAGACTTCGATTGCTATTGATTTTAAAACTTAGGGTACAATTTGCTAGAGTTAAAAGTTTTAGATGTATTATGAAAAAATGCATAATTTAGTGTGCAATGATATAATTCACTCTAATGTTTTGGTGGTGTTAAAAAAATGACAAAATATTTAAAACGATAGTGCACGGGTGACGAAAATCAGCTTCACAATAGTTAATGATTTAGTTTTTTTTTTAACTTTTCTTCACTTCAACCATTAACTAAATAGTTAGTTATTTTGACTAAAGTATTTTTCAATAACTAAATATAACTAGCAAGAAGTGGCTACCTATTGTTTTTTTTTTTATATTTTTATATTTTATTTTGACACAAAGTAAAACTTAAAAAATATATATTTATATTTTAAACTAAAAAAATATTAAAATAATCTATATTTAGCTATAATAGAAAATATTATTAAAGTGACTCATTAAAAAATTATTAGTTAAAATAATTTTCTAACAATTTTAATTATAATTTAATTAAAATTTAGAGAACTCCTCACAGCAGAATCTAAAAAAGTAAAATAAGGGGACAAAGAGCTGAAAACACATGAAATCGAAAACAAATATTACGAAAAACAATGATGGAATAAAAATGGCAAAATATATAATTCGCATTATCCTAGAAAACGACGTGAAAATAAATTCAACAAATATTAAAAGAAACGACATTGGATTAGAAAACGATAACTATATGTAAAGGACAGTAATATGAAAATACGATAGCAACTGAACCAACATTAGGGAAAAAAAAAAAAAAAGATAAACACCAATAAGAACAAATTATAGAAAATGACACAAATAGAATGAAAGACGACAATTGGTTAAAACTACAACAATATAATTAACAATCAGCGAAAATACGAGAAAACCTAGAAGTCTAGACGACAGGAAAAGGGAAAACACCACAGTTATCTAGAACGGCAATTACCTGAAAATGACGGCAACATAATGCCACGAGAAAAGAAGAGAAAGCGACAATAGGCAAGAAACACTACAGGGTCAGGTTTGTTTTTCAAAAGCAACTATAAAACTGTTTCTTTATAGGGTTTTTTTTTTTTTTTTTTTTTTATGTTAGATATTTTGTGTCTGTTTTTGAACGAGATCATGTTATCAAAATCATATCGAAATAGAGTATGCAAATTCAAGGGAATCTAACAAAAAGCAAAAGCGGTAAAGTACTCTTTCATTTTTCTCTTATAAATAAAATGCACAGTTTCTTTTTTAATTTGAAAATGGAGGTTCGAACTCTACACTTTATTATAGGCGAGTCAGATATGTTGAGCTATGTTTGCAACCACACCATATTTTTCGACTACAAGTCGCGTATGGTTATTCTTCTCACTTAACTTGGCCTAATGTTTGCCTTCTTTTTGTATAGCAACCTTTACATTTATGCATTTCAACTCTTAGAAATCTCTCCTACATAGACACACACGCACAATAATATTTATAGAAATTTTATATGTATCAGCTGAAAACAGGGCAGCCTTCGACCTTGATGCCAGGCGCAGTAGGGCAACTGGCGAGAGGACAATGATCATCCAAATCCAAACCCCACCACCTCATTCCATTGATATCCCTTATCTGCAACGCAAAATAGCATAAAATCGCCATGAAAGCCACTCCGGCGTCAAGCCCGGCGGACAAGATGTAGTTGTGCCTAGCCCACCACCCTTTAAATCTCCGGTAAACCACGAAGTTGAAGAAGAGCCCAACGGCGCCCCAGCAGATGTAGTTGACGGCCCTGGCAGGCGGCATTCCGCCGGCGCCGCCGAGGATGATGGGGACGTGGATGAGTCTGAGGAAACGGTAGCGCGGAAAGGCCCGCGAGAGGAGGTAGAAGGGGAGCGGAGCGAGGAAGCCGATGAGGAAGAGGTAGTTCATGGCGGGGTAGTGACCAAGGCGGCCGAACATGCGGAGTGGGCCCACCACGCCCCAGATTACGGAGGCGTTGTAGAAGACGTCGTCGCCGGGGCATGTCCACGGGCTTCCCACCGGGAGTTTCGAGGGTTGGCAG